AAACCCAAGGTACTTTGGAAGGATATTCTAACAGGACAATGGAAAGGTCCTGACCCAGTGATTGTCTGGAGTCGGGGTTCTGTTTGTTTCCACAGGGAGAATAGAAGCTGATTTGGATTCCAGAGAGACTGACTAAAGCGATTTGTACAGATCAAAAAGAAAATGATTTGGCTCAAATCCATAACAGCTGATATCCAGAACTCCAGTTTGGCTATCCTTACATCTGCAACAATGGTTCTCCCACACCAGGAGGCTAATGAATAATGGACACTATTAAGGCCTATTTCAAATGTAAGAAACCTTGGGGCTTGCTTTTGGGAATACTTTTAGACCCATATGCAAGCTACAGGAAAAAGGATGGGATATCAAAAGAAGAGTCAAACCCAGGTGGTAACCAGGATGCTTTTTTCAATGTCTATTTTATTATTGCCCTTTCCCACATCATGAAGTTTTATTTTGTTTTTTTGAGCTCATACAGACCTAGGTTAATGTTTTTCTGATCAGTTTTATTTTTTGACTGTGGAGTTCTTGGCATTGCAATGGGGATTTCACCTGTAAAAAGCTACAAGGCCTTTACTATTTTGTGTTGTATGTATTGTGTTATGTGTGCAAACTTGTGTTTTGTGTTGTATGTCTGTATATGTGTATGTCCATATATCATATATGAGGAGCGCTCATGAATAAATGGATCCAAGTATTTTTTTTTATTATTCACATGATTTAAATGGTTTAATTTAAATTGGGTAAACAGCTGTTGAGGATTGTTTTAAAATCTGAACAAAAAAGGAGGTTAACAGATCTTCACCTTTCCTTTTCATTATATCTAATTGTATTCAGGATACTAAATTGTTTAGAAAATTGCTTTTTTTTAGTGCCTGCTGGAATGTTACATATTTTTTTTTAGCAATCACTGCCAGAATTCCTATCTTCATCCCAGTGCAGGTGAAGACAAAGATAAAACCAAACTACAGCTTCTGCGATAGCTGTCACAACAAACTGTATAAACTGATGCATCAATGAATAATATAACTCAACAAGTGATACTCAATCAAGGAGTCAATTTACTTTGGGAGGAAATGGACATATTAATGGATTCCTCTGCTTTGAACGGCTTGCAGAACTTGCCTGGACTATGTATCACTTGTATGCATAGTGAACTACCCGTTGGTGCAGTGAATTGTGGTAGTGTTGGGGTATCTTTGCTGATGATGTCATCGGTGGTACAATTTTTCCAAAAGGGGCCGTCAATTGGCTTGGTGTCATGGCGTTTTCTATCCTCCCCTTTCTGCTTGTAGCAGGTTGTTTATAGTGTTTGTGTAAAAACCACTATCCACAAGTATGGCTAAATGCTGGGCTGCTAGTCAATGATGGGTAAGATCCAATTGCAATGGTACCAACCTAAGACAGGAGGCTGATGCCTTGAGGTCAGCTTATCTGATGACAGGTAAGGCCCATATGTAGTATTGGACAACCTAAGACAGGCACGGTCCCTAAGCCACATACTTGTTGTTTAATTAAACAAAAGGGGGGAGATGTTGAGAGCCATGGCCAGGTCAAGATGGTGCCTGGCATTTTGTCAGAAGGGGTGGTTCCTGCTGCCTCAGGTGCCCGCTATTTTTGAGTTCTTGCAGAGTTCCCATTGAGTTCTGGTTGAGCTCTCGCGGAGTTCCTAGAGAGTTCATGTGAGTTGGTTGAGTTCATGTTGAGCTCGCACGGAGTGCCTGGAGGGTCATGTGAGTGGCATTCACGTGAGTTTGAAAATAAAATTCATTCCTGCTTGAATCTACAAGTGGCTCGACCTCCCGGTTATTTGTGCACAGCCATACTACGGCACTTTTGGGTGAGGTGTGAGTCCCTGAAGAGGTACAGCCTGGCATGAAATCTCAGCATCTGGGAGAAGCAAGTAGACACCGTTGAACACTGTTAGTTCCATTGTTGGTTGGAATTCAGTGCCTACATGGGGGTGAACAGAGATTTTTGCAGAGGATAAACCTCTGTTGGTTTCAGAGACCTGACTGGAGTGGCTGTATGTAGATAGTCCAGTTTTGGAACTCATCACATAAGGAAGGTATTGAAGGCATTCTCTGAAAAAATTTTTTGTTACTTCTTATTTTTGTCCTACATGACAGTAAAATGAAGAATGTATTTTGGTAGAATATACATACATAAAATATGACTTAATCTATTGAGGCTCCACTCTTGTGATTGTACATGATATGGAGTCACCCTAGTCATGTATACAAATACAAGCCTAGGAAAGTTATGACCAATTAATTTGACTGTCTCTTCTATTCATCTCCCCTGCCCTTCCCCTCATTTTCCTTTGTCTAGTCCAATCTTTTTCTACTATTCCCCTCTCCAATTTCTCTTGTTTTGGGTTAGCTTTTTGTTTTTTGGGATTGGCTTATTTCATTTAGCATGATAGTCTCCAGTTCCATCCATTTACTGGCAAATACCATAATTTATTTCTTCTTTATGGCTGATATTCTTTTGTGTAAACACACCACATTTTCTTTATCCATTCATCTGTTGAAGGACACCTAGTTGTTTCCATAGCTTGGCTATTGTGAGTTGAGCTGTTACAAACATGGATGTGGCTGTTTCACTGTAAATATAATTGGTTTTCAGTCCCTTGGGTATATGCTGAGGAGTGGGATAACTGGGTCGAATGGTGCTTTCATTCCAAGTTTTCTAAGGAATTTCCATACTGCTTTCCAGAGTGATTGCACCAACTTGCACTCCCATCAGCAATGTATGAGAGGATCTTTCTCCCCACATCCTCCCCAACATTTATTGTTACTTGTATTCTTTATAAATGCAATTCTGACTGGAGTGAGAGGAAATCTCAGTGTATTTTTAATTTGCATTTCCCTAATTGCTAGAGATATTGAATAGTTTTTCATGTAATTTTTGACCATTCATACTGCTTCTGTGAAGTGTGTGTTCTGTTCCTTTGTCCACTTATTGACTGGGTTATTCAATTTTCTTAGTTAAGTTTTTTGAATTCTTTGTATATTCTGAATTTAATGCCTTATCTGAGGTTCTGGTGGTGAAGGTTTTCTCCCAATCTGTAGGATCTCTGACCATGTTCTTGATTGTTTCAAGAAGGCATTCTTGCTAGCAGCAGAGGACCTGGCATGGATTATCAAAGTCCAAGCAGGACGAGGAAAGTATCTACACAGAAGATGGATGTGGTGTGGGTTTCAGAAACTGAGCTGAATAAGGGAGCTCTCCATATGGTGGCAAACCCTGGAAGGGGAGGCTCATCCTTACATGGTAAGGACTTGTATCCATGGAAGTATCTTTGTGGGCTGTGAGAGCTCGGGCAGGCCAGGGTGGCTACAGAGAAGCTTTAAGAATCTGATCTGTGTCATCCTTAAAGAAAAGAAGAACAGTAATATACCATGTCCCTGAAACAGCCATTTATTTTCCAATAAACCAGCCAACTTAAGGGAACAGTATGAATGGTCCTGGACTACAATGTCCAGGTGAATAGTATCTTGTAGGACACTGACTCTTTTTTTCATGTATGTTGCAATTTTGAGGTGTGGCTTAGCACAGGGTGTTAGACAGTCAGCAAGGTGAGGAGACTGTCCGTTTGGTGGGGTGTTGTTGCCTGGCCCCATGTGGGAACATTCAATTAGAATTAAGATGTCTCTGATTTAGGAGACAAGGGATTAGCTAGGGAGTACGGGATATATCAGGGAGAAAAGAGTGTCTTAGGGAAGGATGGCACAAAAAATGAGAAATTGGTAGCATCCAGAGTAAAATAAGTTAATAGAAATGTGAAAAGTTAAAGATAATAAAAACAAGTTTCTGTCTGTCACTGATTTGTGAAAGAAACGTGGAAATTGAGAAAATGAAAATAAAACCTGTGACACTGAATTATGCATATTACTGTGAATTTAGTGTTTTCAGTGTATTTTGATATAAAAATAAATGTAGAATGGAAACAAATATACAGTTGAGAGGGAAAGAAATGGAAGGAAGAAGATAGATAAAAAGAGAAAATAAAAGAGGTAGGGGTTATTAAAAGAAGGGAAATTATTTGGGGAGATGTGAGGCAAAGAACGTGGGCTTGAGCTGAGAGCAGCCCTGTGGAATGATCCCACATAAAAGGTTTAGTTTTTAGACTGTTTTCATTTTTGGCTTTGGGAAAAAGAAAATCAGACTTGGCACTCAATTTAAGTTCATCCTCTTCTCCATGTGATGCCATTAATTTTCTCAACTGTTAAGTATAGTCATATTTACTCTCCAGAGCAGGTTGTTCAGGTGGTGTGGTGGTAAAGGGAGAGATAAGTGTAGAATAAAAGGTGGTGTCCTCTTTTATTATGGCTTTCAGGAGTTCTGGAGGTGACCAGTAGCAAAATGAATGAATGCAGGTTCACGATGGTGCTGATTGTGAGCAGCAGGGAAAGCAGAGAGCACAGAGGACACCTTCAGAATTTTTATTCCCCACCATGCTAAAGGAAGGTGGCTCTGAACATGAGAAGGCTGTCATCTGATATTTGTGTCAATGATCACCTTAGAATGTGGCACAAAAAAGCTGCCTGATCAGTCAAACCCGATGACATGAAGGCAATACGAGCAAGTGTTGCTCAGGTTGGTTGGGTAATAGGTTACACTTGCATGTGGACACCTTCACTTTTCAGTTTTGCTGGTGAATTTATAGAATGATTTTCTTAGGAAAGACTTCTCTAATTGCTTGGTTCCTCTTTTTTTCTTCATATTTGAGTTCCCACTTTTGTTACATTTGTTTATCTATTTTGACTATATTTGAATGGTATGATTCTTTTTCTGGTTGTCCAGAAGATTGGATCCCTGTTGCCCAGTGGTTTCCCATGACTTCACTCTTAGGGATATATGTCTATTTATTACTTGGGCTCTCATCTAGTTTGGTTGTAGAATAATTTGTTCTCAGGTTGGAATCTCACGTGTAGTATGTTTTAAGGAAAATATTGCATGAGATTTTTGAAAAAAGCAGAAGGTTTCTTCCTAAGATGGCTTTGGGAACAAACTATGCAGAGGTGAGTTTACAAAATGAACTGAAGTCCTCTGGCACCAACTCAAATACTCCTGCAGGTAAAAATCATTTTCCAGTGGTCAAAGTGAATTGTGAGGTGAAGGATGAAGAGACAGTTAATAAGCAGGGCAGAGGTCATGTTAGTTTCTGTTTCTCTGAAGTGATCATGTCTGTGAAACCCAGGAATCTCTTGAGGATTGTGCTGCATGTAGATAGAAATGAAGGTGTTGTAGAGTTGCAAAGTGGGATAAAATAGATCCATAATACTTTCTTTACTATTATTATTTACAATAATAGTAATAGTTTGAATTTTCTTGTGTATCCTTCCAGATATAAATATATAAAACTGTGTGTACCTATATTTCCAGAACTGAAAGAATATAATACTGAGTTTTTATCCCTCAAGATTGACAATACATACTTTTAAGAATATTGTGTCTCTTTTTTTGGTGTTTTTATCTTAATGGAATGTGTCACCACTGGCCCTCTCCCCTTTGGTGGTGACCAATTTCAGGGTTTTGTATATCCTAGGAAAAATTGCTGTAGCATGAAGCTATACCCTTAGTCCAGAAAATGATTTCTAACAATGGAACAGTGACTAAAAAGAGTAATTTTATCTTAAAAATATAAAATTTTGTCAGAAAGTTTTATCTTCTATAGCATACTTGCAAATTGGACACAATCTGAAATATTATCTAAATATGTAATGAAATATTAAGAACCATATTAAAATATTTTTTAAAATATGGTGAAAAATGTTCATGAAACAATATAAAAGAATATAGTGAATCAGAAATCTGTAAATATGTAAGTCAAGAGATGGAAAAATGTGCATATATGTTGTAAATACTTCCAAAATTGCTGAAGGGACATGTGACAAACTTTGAAAACTATCAGGACTCTTGGAGATCAACTAAATGTATTTTCCACTGTGAGATGGACATGAATTTTTGGGGACCAGGTGAAGAATGTTATGTTTTGAATATGAGATATGCCCTGAAAAGCTTGTGGCAATTCAGGAATGTTCAAAGATAAAATAGTTATGAGATTTATAACCTAATCAGTGCATTAACTAATATATTTGACAGATTAATAATTAGAATGGATTACTGGTTGGTAATCTATTATTACCAATATTAAGAATAGTTATTTTCAATGATAAACATTTGAGTTTTGGAGTATTTTATAAAGTTTTTATAAATGAACATCATTTATTTTTTCTTATTTCAATTTTCATTTGATTTCAAATATTCATGGTATTAGTGATTGTGCTTTATTGAAGAAAATTGAAAAGTAGAAGAGGAGGATATTAGCTTTTCTGTCACTTTGACTAAAATACCTGATAAGAACAACTTAAAAGATAAATATTATTTTGGGATCAATATTTCAGAGGTTAGTCTATGGTGAGTCAGCTCTATCACTGTGGTCCTGGGGTCAGGCAGAACATCATGGTTTTAGGGCACAGAGAGGAGAGCTGATGGCAGCCAGGTGATTATGGAAGCTTCCACTGAGATTTCAAAGGAAGACCTGAGTGTTCAGGCAAAGTGAAGCTGTGTTGGAATCCCCACAGGATTCCCTTGAGAGGGCATGCATGAAGTTGTGAAGGGGAAGCTGAAGCTGGAATGGAGATCCCAGGGATTAAGATATGCCAGTAATGTGGAATGTCTGCTGAGGAAAGGTGTTGGCTGTAGATGGAGTCAGCCTAAAAAAGAGAAAACATGGACTGCAACCAGCAAGGCCATTTAGGGAGTGCTGCAGAAGCCTTTTGAAGATTACATCACACCACAATATTCCCCACATGGTGTACATGGAGTTACAGAAACTAATATCTGCTTGACTGAATTTTGGTTGTTTTGTATTCATCCCTTCCTTATATCCTTATTCCTCCTTTGGGGAATGGGAATGTTTACTTTGTGCCATTGCATATTGGGAATATGTAACTTACTTTTGACTATTACAGAGGCTCACAACAAAGAATTTGTCTTGAGTCTCAGAGGAGACTTTGGACTTGGTCTATTGGGAAATTTTGGAGCTTTGAATACTATGGGGCCTCTGGAGATCAACTAAAGGTATTTTCCATTGTGGGATGGACATAAACTTTTGGGGACCAATGGCAGAATGTTAAGGTTTGAATATGAGATGTGCCCTAAAAAGCTTATGTGACAATTCAGGAATGTTTGGAGATAAAAATAGTTATAAGAATCATAACCTGATCAGTGCATTAGTTAATATATTCGATGGATTAATAATTAGAATGGATTACTGGTTGGTAATTAGGTGTGGTATGGTTGAAGAAATTAGGTCACTAGGGCATGCCATAGATCATATATTTTCAATTCCATGTTTTTAATAGATGAATTATAATTATATAAACTAGTGGGATTCACTGTTACATATTTATACATGTACATGATATGAGAATATAATTTGATCAACATCATTCCTCAGTGGATTATATTTTTTCCCCTGGCTCCTTGTTTGCTCATTCTGCTTCCTGGCTATCTTGAGTTGAACAGTATTTCTCCACCACACCTTTCTTCTATGATGTTCTACCTTACCTCAGTCCTAAAGCAGTGGAGCAGACTGACCATGGACTGACACCTCTAAAATCATGAGCCCCAAATGAACTTTTCTACTCTAAAATATTCTTGTCAAATGTTTTGGTCACAGTGACAAAAAGTCAACTCATAGAGGAGTATTTGGAAATAAGGATAGAATTTATTTCTGATGAATTAATTTGATTTATCCTTCAGATCACAATGAAAACACCATTCCTCATCTGAGTAATTTTGTTTTTTCCAAGCTTCTTCTTGCCTTGTTGCTGATACTTTTCCTGCTGAAGGAACTCTTATTGTCTGTCTCTCTTATCAGTAAGTATGCCAACTGAGTCAGTTAGCAATGCCTGCCTTTCATGAACAGAAACTATCCATTAGAACCTAAGAGTTTAATATGATGCAGACATTTGAAAAATGAATATTCTCTGAGGTATGGGATAGATTTCTTGTGTTTTCATTGGGAATTTTACTTTTTCACAAATAATGGAATTCATGTTCATTGAGAAAATTTGAAGAGTTGATATGTGTGTATGGGTTGATGTTAGAGTGAAATTAATTCGTCATCAGTTCTATAATAGATTCTGTGTGAAGATACATCTGTATTTCCTTAATAGCTTTTATAAGGCAAGTCTTATTTGACTTCACAGACATATTTTTGGGTGATGAGGTGGACATGAAGGTGATGGAAGGAAATATTCCAGAAAGAGTTCCCAGTGAATTTCTTTCTAATAATTTTTGTCTGGCGCATTGTGAGATCCCAGGAAAAATCAATTTACCAAATAGGTGGATTTATGCATATGCCATATTTCAGAGCTCATCAAGTTTTCAAAAGTCACAAAACTCAGCATTTATTAGGGTAGATATTTGATTCATTAATTTGGTCATTTGATAAGTAACAATGGTCATACATATTGTTTACTAGGCGCTGTGTTAGAGAATCCAGAAATAGCCACAGCCACTGGTCTCAAGATATGAAGAGAATAGTCAAATACACAGTGCTGTACTGGGGTTGTGGCTCAGTGGTAGAGCGCTCACCTCACCTATGTGAAGCCCTGAGTTTGAACTTCAGCACACATAAAAATAAATAAATTAAATAAATAAAGTTATTGTGTCCATCTCCAATCAAAAAAATATTTAAAAAAATATAACCAGTGCTTACAACACGAGATGAGAAGGGTTGTGCAGGTAAGAAGTGAGCACAGGAGGCTGAGATCGTGTTCTTAAGTAGGAGATAGCTACATCTGTTAGTATCAAAATGACATACACACATTATATTATAATATGCAAGATTTGGGGGCAATATAAACATGCCTGACGAGGAACATATAGTGTGATGTGAAAAACTATGAAATAAAGTTGTAGGTGGCCGATATAAACTGAATTCAGATCATGGGAAGGAAAAAGATGGCGGCAAATAGAGTGCGTCACCCCCATGTACCGCATCACTGCACAGGTGAATAGCGAGTTTAGAACGGCCAGAAGCTATATTGTTGGGAATTTCCAGCAAAATTGGGGTGCACTGAAACCTAGAGGAAGGATTTCCAACACCCGAGGATCAGTTACTGTGGCTCAATCGTGAGTGAACTGTGCACCTGGAGATTCAGGCTGATTGATCGGCGGCCAGCCCTGCAGCTGGAGCCTGCATGCTGACATGCCAGCAATGCAGAGAAATAGTGCTACGGATTCTGTGGAGTCCTGCCAACTGTGCCCTCACAGTGTTCCAGGCTGAGTTCTGGGTTTGAGATGGGGGAAAGAAACAGTCCAGATCTGCCCTCCACACCGGACACCCCACCAAGGAAGCCAGTGGCCACCATCTTGGAGAGCTGATGTCACCATCGCCAGTTTCTGACAGATCCAACCTCTTCCACACAAGTTCAGAGATAGAACAGGTGTGGGACATTTAGCCCTTCTCCCATACAGCGGGGAAATTGCATAAAATCTCTCCCCAGCTTTCTGGGGGCGTGATTATCCGAGTGAGCATGAATAGAGGTGTGGGGAAAGGTAAAGGCACCTGACCTCCAACTCCCCCCTCCCACCAGTGGCAAAAACGAAACCTGTCTCGCCAGCTCTTGGAGGAGTGGCTATTGGAGGGAATCAAAACAATAGGGGGCCGGTTCCCAATATCCATGCTCCACATCCAGGACACTGCAGGCCCAGAATGTACCTTGAACTACGGAGTGGTATCACACTGGGGAAGGCCTGTCTAGCGGGAGAAGTGAGGATACTAGAGCCTAGGAATAAACCTAATTGAACAGGATTGGAGAGACACCAGTTGGGGGAGGAGGGAGCGGCCTCATACGGATTGTTTCCTACAGCTGGAGGGCAAAATCTTGGTCTGGAAGGCACAGCACCACCTACTGGAAGCGAAGAAAATAGAAGCCTAACAGTGCTTTTACTTTTTTTATTTTTTTTTTAATTGTAATTTTTATTTTACTTTATTTTATTATTTTTTTATCATTTCTTCTTTTTCTTTTCTATTTTTTCTCTTTCTTTCTTCTCTACCT